TGGACTGAGTCTTCGTCTTGTTGCGGCCGTGGTTGTTGCGCGGCCGGCCACCATCCCGGGCAGCTGCCAACACTTCACCCTCGTTTGGTGTTGCAACCTTGGTAGAAGTAATGCAAGCCACCTTTGGCTTGGGCTGGGTGCCGCTCGTCGTCGCGGAAGATCGGCCGGCGTTGCGGGCTTCGATATTCGTGAGAATGATCCGTGACGCTGTGCTGAAAAGCTTGTCAGATGTGTCGAGTGTCTCTGCAATCTGCGTCAGCGCCTTTTGCATAGCTGGACACGAGCGCATGATAAACAAGTGCTTGATGGCGCGGAATGCGAGCGGCAGGTCAGGTGTGGAGGCGAGTCTTTGGAACTCGGTAATCCAGTCCTGACTGAGCAGCGTGTTCTGATGGAGCTTGTTGAGCTTGTCCATCGCTTGCAGGTCGGGCGGCTCCACTTGGAACCGCTTGTGCCAGGCGTCAGTCAACTCCTGCCAAGTGAGCTTGGTGTGCAGTTCCGACACTGCTACGTCGTGGCTGGTCAAGATGTTGTCCAGCCATGCTTGACATGCACCACCACATCGGTGGTACAAGCACGGATGTCGATCGTTGTTCGGGACATGGTGCATGTCGAGCCTGAGAGTACACTGGCGCCACCACGGGATCGGTTCCGTCTTGGACTGATCGCAGAAAACTGGAATGTCATCCAGTTTGGGTGGGCGCATGGAGGATGCGGCGGCGGGCGTCACGGTGGCAGCAGCCTGGACCTGCGTCTCCAACTGCAAGTTCGTTGCTTGCTGCGACGTCCTGAAGTCCTGATGCACACGCTTGATATTGCTGACGTCATCCTCCAAACCTTGAACACGGGTGGCAAGGTTTGAAGGCCCTGCGGCTGCTATAGCAGCTGGCTGTTTCTCCAACGCCTGCAGCTGTGCGAGCATCTGGTCCACTGTTTGCTGCAGGTGAAGGATTTCCTCCTGCTGCAGAGCGCAGGTGGCCACGAGGTCGTGGGAGACCTGCGCAAGGGCTGACAGCCTTTTCTCAGTCTTCGGGGCCCCGTCTGCAGATGCCACTTCCACCCAATGTGCGGCCTCATCGCCGATCACGGTCTCCCGCGTGAACAGTCGTTCCCGCTGGCGTGACCGGTGCTCGGCTGTCGCCTGCAGGTTTGCCTCCTCTTGACGAAGTCGGTCCTGTTCTTCCTTCTGTCTCTCGGCCTCTTCTTCTTGCTCAATCCGACCACGTTCCTTGGCCGCGGCGGCAGCCCTGTCATTGGCCTCCTGGATGAAAGCAGCCAGGCGTTCCTCATAGGCCAAGAGGGATTCTCCCTCCTTCCGGTCCATGGTCTTGGTCTGTGATCGAGTGAGTGGTGGCATGCACTGCTCTGAAGAGTCACCTATGGGCCAATCAGATAGACTGGCCCCGTATTCGGACTGGAGGGGAAAGAACAGGTAGGCAGTAGACAGGTGGGAAGGATCGGACAGATCCCAAATTGAACAGTTCCCTAATCAAAAAAAGAAAAAATAATAATTTTTGATTAAGAAATAAATCAAAATTCGAAAAAAGACTGTCCAATCCCACTGAGTGCCGAAGGTGATGCAAAAAGCAATTGTAAACCTTCGGTGCTCAAACTGCAGAGAATCAGAAAAGAAATATCTTTACAACTCAGAGTAGGAGTAGGTTGCAGAAAGGAAAAAAATGCTGTTTTTTTTTTTTTTTTTTTTTTGAAAAAAATACCGGAATCTGCAAACCTACGCAGTGAAAGTGTAGGGGGACATTTTCGAAAAAAGAATCGAATTTGTCAAAATGCAGACATTTAACAATTAAATAAGGTAATAAAAAAAAAAATCTCGGAAAAAGAATTCTCAGAACGAAAAAAAAAATAAAATCTCGGAAACCAAATTTCTCGAAAAAATAAATTTTCGGAAAAGAATAATAATTTTTCGAAAAAAAATTATCGGAAAAAGAAATAATTTCTCGGAAAAAATAAATAATTAATTAATTCCGGGAAATTTCCAAGATAAAAAATTGCCAAATAATCAATCAACTAATTAATTAATTGATCAATCAATCAATCAATCAATCAATCAATCAATCAATCTCAGATGATTGCTGGTTGATTGATCGATTGTTCGATCAATCTCCTGATTGACTGATCAATCAATCGAAGATTGATTGGTGGCAAACCGCTAATCCAATCAATCAATCGATGAATTGGTTGCTGCCAAGATTCATCGCACTAGCTCCGATACCACTTGTAGCATATCAGAAAGTGAAATGCACTGAAAGCTTAGGATCTAGCAATGACGAAAGTGGCAACAACCAGCAGCATAGGTGCAACATTCACAAGGTGTCAATGTGCGCGATGCAAAGAGTGAAACAACGAGAAATCAACAACAACACATTCGTATCATTATCATCATAGGCTGGGGAGCAGCACAGCGGAAGATTCAGTATCAAAAGGACATGTGGACGACAACATGAAAGGGAGAAACTTCGGAAGGGCAAGACATCAGAAAGATTGCCCTTCCGCTCACACACATGGGGAGAGATCCATAGACATGCGAGAGAGAAGGGGGAGGGACATAGTAACCAAATCCAACCCAAGTCTGATCTCCGAATGTCGTACACAGTTCAATCCCAATGTAGAGTGTAAGTCCGATCTGAATGTCGTGTCCAATAAGGCAGAAGGCCGTGTCCAAACAATGTCTGCAGTTACCTCTACCTCTACTCTGATAAAGAAGAAGAAGAAAAAGAAGAAGAAGAAGAAGAAGAAAGCTAGGCGCTTTTTGCACTTACCTGGCGATGGCTGAACTTGCAGGTACCGCGGAGCCAGATATGGCGCTGGTGCAGGTAAGTCCTCTTCTCTCTTTCTCTCTCTCTCTCTCTCTCTCTCTCTCTCTCTCTCTCTCTCTCTCTCTCTCTCTCTCTCT